AAACAGATAATACCACCTGCTAAAATAACAACAGAGCAATCCCTGAGGGGACCTGTCTCAGATCTATCACTAAGCTTGTTGGTCCTTTCCTCAGCAGCTGGTTAAAGAGGCTCAGTGTCAGACAACAGGTCTAAATAATTTTCGGTAAGCTGCTGTGTATTTCTGATTGTGCCACTGAGCCACAGAGACAAATGAAATGGACAGCACTGAAAAAATCTCATTGACTGATAAATGGCACATGAAAGGCCACCCATGTGGAAAACCACAGTTCTTTCCTTTTAACTACCTAGTAACTACCGTTACTAATATCCTTGACTTAAATGCTGAAACCACAAAAAATTATGATATTGGGTTGGGCAGATATCATTAGCTTTGCTTATTACCTCCTGCTTTGTTTGCACTTGCAGGATTAGAGTGAAGTTAGAGTAATAATGGAGCTGCAGGATGGCTCAGTGCTCCAGGAGAGTAACATCAGCTCTCCTAGGCTCTGGGGAAATACAGGAATTCCTTGGCTCACTGCTATAATCATTCTTCACACCCAGGAAAAAAAAAATCACTTTTAAAACTGGCTCCCATGTAAAAAGGTACCAGTTATCACAAATGCCACTGTCAGCAGAAGGTTGCTGATGACACTGTCATGTTCCCTGACAGGAAGTCCCCAGTGCCATGCATTCATCTGCGATTCAAAGATTAATTTCTATTTTCCATATTGTAGCTGCACTTTCATGCACAGAACAAAACCAAAAAAAAAAAAGAGACAGCTTCTTTTTCATTAAAAAAACTAGTGCAGATCAGAATTCCTTGAGGAATAGATACCAATGAAAGAAAGAAGCCTCCCCAGGCACACATCTCCAATAAAAAGTTACTAGCAGCCTCTCAATCTCCATAAGAAACACTTCTGTCTCTTTAGCAAGAACATAAGCACCACCTTGCTTACATGATACACAGAATTTCAGTCTGCTTTCTCTTCGTGTACTGACTATTTCACATGCAGTCTGCTACCCGTGTTCACGTCACAAGGCATAGCTTTTGTACAACTGCATGAATCGGGTGTCAGTGGCTTTAATGCTCCGGTTCAAAGGTTGCACTGTAAAGTGCAATACTGATGGTTTAGATCTGAGTAATCAGATCAAAACAAGCGATGTTTTTAAACATAAAGTAGGGTAGGGGCAAGATGCTGCCTTGAGGCCTCAGAAAAAAACTTACACTTAGTGATGTTCAATGAGCTGAATTTCCATTTGTGAACATCAATTAATTGGCTTCACAAGAAGTATGGTGTTGAAGAGAGAAAAGCAAAGGACAACAGGGAAATTACACAGGTAATGCTCAACACTTAATTAGTCCTTCTGGACCACGTGATTACTTATAGTCCTTTTCTCTGGGTTGTTGAGGAGACAAATGCTAGGTCAGTTGCTATCTTTCACCCTCCCTTCTGACTGTGAAATCCCAGGAGTCTGTCATCAGCCCCGCAGGTACAAAAGCCCCCCTGCAAGCTGCAGTGGACAGTGTGACTGCTCTCCAGCAACTCCTGCTCCCCTGCCTGCTGCTCAAACTCACTTCTACAGCTGTGCTAGCATCTGTTATTCCAGCACTCAGCAAGAACTCTTGTCAAGACCAGAGAACACAGTCTTCTTGCATACAGGAAAATTTTTGAACAGACTTCTTATCTCCTGCTTACAGGAACTGAAATTCATTCTCTGTCTTTTTTTCTATTGCTGTGAGTCTTGTGCTCAAAGCTAAATGATTACTTAGGCGACAGCATGGCTACGAAAAAAATTCAAACAAATAGGAAGAACACTCTCCCCACTTCTCCCAGATTAGTTCATGGTCTGGGACACAGGAGTCCTTGCTGTGCTCACTTTGAAGCACAGATTTAATCTTGAGACCTTCATCGTGGGTAGATCTCTAAGCAATATAGCTTTGTTTGTCCTTGAGCTGATGGAGGAAATACCTTTCTATGCCAGCACAGAGAAAATCAAATACCAAGATGTTAGTATTTGTCTTTAAAAAAACACAAAACCCCCCACAAACTACCTTGAATTACAATCTACTTCTTAAAGTTCAGTGACTTTTTATTTTCAAGATGGTATTAGCAACCAGGAAAAAATTCAGCAGATTATTCCCTAGAGGAGACACATTCAGGCATGGGAGTCCTTGAGGCAAAAGAAAACACAAATCCCAGCAACAGCATTAATAATTTCGAAAAGATAACAAGATAATGGCCCTGATTCTACCCCACAAGGCAGATCTTTTAAATTATACTCCTGACACTTTCTCTGTCATTAATGTTGGTGATCTTCTTCAAAAAAATTAAAATAATTTTGACAGGAAGCTGAACATGAGCCAGCAGTGTGCCCAGGTGGCCAAGAAGGCCAATGGCATCCTGGCCTGGATCAGGAACAGTGTGGCCAGCAGGACCAGGGAAGTGATTCTTCCCCTGTACTCAGCGCTGGTGAGGCCACACCTGGAGTGCTGTGTCCAGTTCTGGACCCCTCAGTTCAGGAAGGACATTGAGGTGCTGGAGCAGGTCCAGAGAAGAGCAACAAGGCTGGTGAAGAGACTTAAGCACAAGTCCTGTGAGGAGAGGCTGTGGGAGCTGGGGCTGTTCAGCCTGGAGAAGAGGAGGCTCAGGGGAGACCTCATCACTCTCTACAACTCCCTGAAAGGAAGCTGTAGTCAGGTGGGGATTGGTCTCTTCTTGCAGGCCATCAGCAGTAGGACAAGAGGGCACGGTCTTAAGCTCTGCCAGGGGAAGTTTAGGTTGGATATTAGGAAGAAATTTTTTACAGAGAGAGTAATCAGGCATTGGAATGGGCTGCCCAGGGAGGTGGTGGATTCACCACCCCTGGAGGTTTTTAAGATGAGACTGGATGTGGCACTTAGTGCCATGGTCTAGTAACTGTGGTGGTGTTGGATTTGATGATCTCGGAGGTCTTTTCCAACCAGGCTGATTCTATGATTCTAAATATTTTAAAATTATTTTTATTTTACTGTAACAAGCCTTTACATATGTGTGCACAAGGAGAGGTAAAATAAATTGTTCTTGAAACAACAAAAACATCAATCTCTCTTGTGGGAGAAGCTGAGAGGATAGTATCTCATAAGCTGTAAAGATAATTAACCTTTGACACCACTTTGAAATGCCCTTCAACTAACAGCATGGGGAGCAAACAGAAGTCTGAAGTCTGTCTGCAGTACAGGGCTGGTGGCTCACTGGGTGAATGGTGGGGTGACTCACATGACTGCTGTGCTGCAGCTGAGGAATATGGGCTTTCAGGAAGAGCGGGCTGGAAGGCAAGGAGAGGAAGCTGGCCTTTATGCAAGAGAGCAGCAGGAGTGCATGGAGCTCTGCCTGGGAATGGATGATGACCAACAGAGAGGTCACAGGTCAGGATTAGTGACGAGACCAACATGGGTGACGTGGTAGCAGGTGCCTGCTATAGATCGCCTCACCAGGAAGATGTAGCTGAGGCCTTCCTCAAACAGGTGGAAAAATCTTCAGATTCACAGGCCCTCATCTTCATGGAGCACTTTAACCACCCTGATATCTGCTGGAAGAGCAATACAGCTAAAGCAACTGCTCAGGCAATCCACAAGCTTTTTCAAGTGCATTGATGACATCTTCCACCACAAGTAATCAAGGAACTAGCAAGGAAAATCACTCAGCCGGACCAGATACTTACAAACAAGGCAAACCTGGTCAGGCACATGAAATCAGAGGCAGCGTTGGCTACAGAATCCATAAGATGGTGGAGTTTGGGACCCTAGGAGAAGGGAGCAGGGCAAAAAAGCAAGATCACAGCCCTGGATTTAATGAGAGCAGATTTACAGTCTCTTCAGAGACCTGTTTGGAAGAATTCCATGCAATATGGTCCTAGATAGGAGAGAGTTGAGCAGAGCAGGTGGATGTTCAAAGGCCACCGCTTCCAAGCTCTAGAAAGATCTGTCCTGACAAACAAAAAACTAAGCAGTGTGTCAAGAGGCCCGCATGGATGTGCTCAGAGCTTCTAACTAAACCTGAACATAAAAACAAAGTAAGGAACAAAGGGGTGGAGGCAGGGGCAGGTGACCCAGGTGGAGTCATATAGTTGTTATCTAATATGCAGGAATGGGGTTATGAAAGACAAAGACAAGACTGACCTGGAGCTGAATCTGTCAAGGGATGTGATGTGTAATAAAGTATTCCACAAGTAGATAAATAGCAAAAGAAAGAGGAGCAAATATGTGAACCCACTGCTAAACAGGACAGAGCAACTGGTGACAAATTACATGGATAAGGCTGACTGTACCTTGACTTCAGTAAAGGCTTTGATGCTGTCTCCTGTAATATCATCATAGACAAGATGACAAAGTATAGGACAGATGACTGAATAGTGAGGCAGACTGAAAACTGGAGGAAGGACCAGGTCCAGAGGGTTGTGATCAGTGGCACAAACCCCAGGGACCAATACTGTTCAACATCTTAATTAATGACCTGAATGATGGAAGAGAATGTGCCTGTGGCATGTTTTGCACAAGATAAAATACTGGGAGCAGTAGCTGATGCACTATATGGTTTTACTGACATTGAAATGGGCAGAGAGGAATCTCATGTCGTTAACAAGGGGAAACGCAAAGTCCTGCATCTGGAGAGGAATGATGGCAGACAGCAGTACATGCTGGGGGGCAGTAGGGAAGGGAAGTGGAAATCTGCTTGGTTCGTCTGCTTGGTTCATAGGATCTTTGGAGTCTGACAATGAGGGAAGGGGCATGAACACATGACTTGCTTGGTCACAGAATGGCTGCTTACCTCATACAGTGGTGGTAGTTATGCCAACCACGTTATCAGGGGCAGAGCTTAAGCAGGACCCAGGGACCAGGTGGCCCTGCTTGAGCAGGGGGCTGGACCCAATGACTTGCAGAGGTCCCTTCTGGTCTCAGCTCCTATGTGATTCTGTGCAGTCAAACTGTGCCTTGTCCCCTTCATATCTCTGTTCTAACATTGTTACTACACTTTTTAGCTTTGTTTCCTGGGGCCTTTAACTGTTGCACAAAGATTACAGAAGAAATTCCCAAAGGAATTCTCCGAAGAGTGGAGAGGTTTGAAATCCAGACAGCTGATGGCCTGTGTCACCTAGAAGCTGTTATGTAAGGAATATTTTGAGTCCTTTATTGGGAAAGGGAGTTAAAACCTATTAGGCATCATTGAAATAAGTATAATCTTGGAAAACTAATACAAATTCAATGAAAACACCATTGTTTGTGATTTAAGAACTGTCTTTCCTTGTGCTATTTAAATTTTTTTGGTAAAATTGAATTTCCTTTTCAGTACAATATTGATCATTATTCAGCCTGCACGTAGACTCTCGCTTTATTTTCAGAACTGAAAAATTACTCATGCACCTTAAGACTTCTCTGGTTTTTCCAATTATTAATCCCCTAAAAAACCTTACCTAAACTCATTAAATAAGCTTTACTTTTGTACATAAGCTATTTCTAATTTTATTTCTGGTACAATATCACACTGTTTGGGTTAAATTGGTACATTTGCTAGACTTTTGTATGGTAGTAATGACAATAATAATAATTATAGAGAGGTCTACTTATTTATTTTCAATAGAAATGTACTGCTTTGCACTGTGGTTCTTTTTGCATTGAAGTAGTAAAGCTTTCTTCAGATTTTGGAAGACAAGTTTAATCATGTAAAACTTAGATCCTGACTTTGACTTATTTGAAACTAAAAAAAAAAAAGTTAATAAGCACAGTATAAAATATAATTTACAATTAATCAAGTCTAACTTAATAGGTGAGTGCTAAGTATGATAATTTTCTTTGAAACTGACAACCAGTTTTTTCTCTGTCAGCCTCTATATAGAAGGCAAAAAGTTCTGTGTGAGTCCACGGATTAAAAAAGTTAAAAAATGGATGAAGAAGATGAAGCACAAGATTCACAGAAGAAAACTTCATGTTAGAAAGCAGAGAAGAACGAGGATTACTAAAAAGAAAGGACAGAAACAGTAGCATGATGAAGCAAGCCCCGTGATGAAGATACCTGTGGCATACGGCACTGTGAACAGAGATACCAGATTTCATCAACGATGGATGATTGTAGCATTAAAATGACTTTCTAAATGTCTATGTGCTAGAGAAAGCAGAGGCAGAAAACATCACTTGTACTCAGAACAATGCTGATCAGATTACCAGACAAATGACAAAGGCAATGTCTTGTAGCAAGTCTCTGCACCTCCTAGATCTATTGGCAGATTTAAATTCTCCTCTCTCTCACTCTGCTTTCATGGAAACCTCCCCTATGATTTCTATTTTAACATGGTAGTATGCTGTTCCTTCTTATTCCTCCATTTTTTCCAGTCCTATCCCAAAAATAGTTATTCTTCCCTGTCATCTTTGTGCTGTTACCTGTCTTGTTTCTATTCTTCCAGACATTAATCTTATTTCTTTCTTCATTTTACATAGTTTTGCAGATACCTTTTCAGATACTTTCAGTTTAAGTTTGCCAAAACAATATGTCTTTTACCTATTCCAAACAGGAATAGGTAAAACCATGTGTCTTTTACCTATTATCTGCTCCCAGCTGTTACTATCATGAAATATCATTGCAGTGATAATATCTGAGCCTGTTCATAGGACTCAAAGTGTGGCATGCAAAGCTATGCAATAAAGATCGTCTCTATTGCTTTTGTTCATTCAATTCCCTATTCAGATCCTTCAGCTGGGTCCTTCCTACCCTCTTTGCCGTATTTCTCATAATTTGTATTGAGGATTACACATGTCCACCAAGGTCTTTCTTTGAAGACTAGCAATGATGACAACCTGACTACCCACCTCCATAGCCTCTCTCCCACTGCATGGCACTGCCTGTCTCCTGTCACAATCTCTGGTTCCCTCCCTTCTTCCATGGAAACTTCAAACTAATTTAGAATTTCCACAGAGCCAGCTCAGTCAAAAGCACTTCTCCTCAGCGACACATACACAGACAGCAGCAAATGAGGGTTAAGAAAGGTCTTAAAAAGAGTAAGTGCCATAGAATGCACACACTGAGGGAGCCAAAAATTACATAATATAGCAGCATAATTCTGTTCCTCCTCTTCCCCTAATAATCAGTTTTTTTCATTCACTGCATTAGACCTAAATTAGCTCCTGTGTTTGTTTTGTAATCGTTATGTCTAACTACATACTGCAAAGTACGGGAGACGGCACGGCCAATGACAGGGGACAGAAACAGCTGCTGGTACATTCCCTAAATAAAAAACAAATGGAACATCTGTAGCAAGGTCACTAGAGATAAGTAGAACACTCCAACAAATGCAAATCTGGCGAAAGAAACTTGACTCCTTCCAAAACAGATAAACCAATTATCTTTCCTTACGAGCCAACAGCCTCCCAACAGGGATGAGGTAACTCATCTAACTCTTATTCCAAATTCTAGGGCATATTGTGTACCCCAGATAACATAGCTCCATCCTCTGCCTGCCAGCAGGAAGCCTGGATTGAATCCGGAGCAGGATCTGGGATTGCTCTCTGACTGAACCTGCACAGAGGCTCTTCCTCTGATGGCTGTGCTCAGCTGCTGAAGCAGAGGAGGTGACCCTGGAGGATGAAGCTGAAATGGCAAATGCTTTCCACCATTCCATTTGCATTCTGATGTTGTGCTGCCTGGACACCACACAGATACTTGAAGAATGGAATTTAGACAGAATCCAATCTCCTTGGGCCACAGTCAGCAGAGCACCAGGAATGCTAAATTGCTGAAACATTTTATAATATGGCATCAGTATCTTACTGTTTCTGGCAATTCTATTTTCTTCCTCATGTTCTGCTCTGGGTTCCAGATTTTACCATCATGCTTCCCTCTTGAGTCACAGATTCCTAGGTAGGTTTATGATGGCATCTCAGCTCCTAACAGCTATTCCATGAACCCAAACAGCAGCCTTTCGAGTGTACAAACTGTACTCAACATACTGACTAATGCATGGAGTGTACCCTCATTTCCATGCCTGTCCTATGGGAGACAGCATGGGGTAGGGGAGGAGAGGAGAAGGGAAGGGAGGGGAGGGGTCTGCATTGGTTTAGGCACAGGCTGCTGGGAAGCTCCATGCAGTCCTGGCTTACAGACCTATCCTCTGCCAATTGTAAGAACACAGCACAGCTGCAGTTGTCTCTCTGGTTTCAAAAGCAGTACAGATACTAGGCGATGACTTACCTTTGCACTGCCAGCTTTCCTGGCCCCCAAATCTTTGATTCTTATCTGTTCAGCAATTCCCAATTTGTATTTGAAATTATAACACTACTGTGGTTTCTCCTCTTACACATATCATAAAAAACCAGCCAAGTATGATTTAAATGCATTTTTGTAACTTTTAAAACCTGTAATTGATACAACGTCACAAATATTTTAAGACTCAGCCAGAACCGTAACTCAAATGTTATTGAAATATTTGCATTTACTGGACCTACTTTAAAATACAGGTTTTGATATTTTTGTTTAAATTTCCCAGTTCTTCAGATTGGGTGTTGTCTTCTATCATGTTATCCTGGAATCAGCAGACCAAACTGAGATGATTACGAGATGATAGAAGGCCACTCTCCACTACCAACTGTGTTTCAAATCTGAGTTCCTGTGCATTCTTTTGGGAATTGAATTAGAAATAACTTTTACTAGTCATTCAATCTAAAAAAACTTTCTTCCCTGATACTGGTATATGAAATATCAAAACAGCACTTGAGAGATCCACGGTCTTGTACAGTTTCACTTATCCCTGAACCCTAACACACATATATAGAGGAAAAACCTTCCCGTTTCCAAACTTTCATTTGTGTGATCTCACATTCTCTGTCCCTGAGCATTATTTTTGACCTTTGCTATTTTGTACTTGGCAAAAAATAAAATCAATGCCTTTTTCAGTAAAGTCATCTCAACATCTTGTTTTGTAGAAGAGATTATAAGGGCACATGACTTTGTTTTCCCTGAAAATCCTGGATAAAACTCTCTTTCCAATGGGTTTAGGTGCCTAAAGATGTAGTTGGCTGCATCTAAAAACCCCAGTGAGTATTTTAGTGGCTTAGAAGTGTAACTTCCATTGAATTAAGTCTGACTTAGGCCTGTAATAAATATTCTTGAAAATTCCAACAAATGCACTCCTAAAGGGTTTTAAGAAAGAGCTTAACAGATTATCATCTGGATTTTTTTTTGCTTATTTTAAGAGTTATTAACCTAATGTGACAGTCTCTATCTCTCTAGGAGGCTTTAAAACAATGTTACAGATAGCATTGCTTAAGAACTACTAAGCAGAAGCAAAGAAACTGTTGGATCTATTGAGACAAAACCAGCACCTCGAATTTGATACTCCGGCTTAAAACTAGAAGGTGAATCATCAGACTGCAAACACTTTTCTTTCAAAACAGTATCAGGTTAGGAGTTCCCACCCACTTTTACATAGCTGAAGAACGTTGAGAAAAACTCAAATTCAAACTCCTCTTTTATCAAAACAGCCTGAATTTTAACGGAGGAAGAGAATGTGTGCTCTCACTAGCACCATCTGAGCATGTTTCTGCTCCAAGGTTATTCCAAGTCATGCTGAGTTTCTCTGGTAATACCATCTTTATTAAATGGACCGGTCTTTTCTTAGGTTTCGTGCTCTAAGGTTACTGAAGTGCGGCATTCATTTTGGTGCATTAGTACAAATTAACAAATTCAGCCTTGATTAAAAATCTCCCTGGGCAGACTGGTTGAGCTCTAGAGCCATGAAAGGGAAATGACCTGCATTCTCACTAGCTGGGCTGCAAATAGTACCATCACATATCTGGAGCACAATTTGCTTAGAGGACTATAATTAATTACCTAAGAGGTTTGGAACAAGATTCACCAGCAACTTTAATGATATTAATGCAATCTTTATGAGAAATGAATACAAAACAATTGTAGTCTATTGCAACAGGAGTATTGGCCTATCCTTTCTTGTGAAGAAACATTTGTAATTCTTTTTGTAAGTATTCCCTTGTAATACACTCAGTGGCAGGAAAAGCAATAGTCTCATAAAGCTGAATAAAAAGAATAATGCTATTGACAACAATTATAACATAAAGTGTACTGATTAATAAGAAAGAGTAGTTTTTAGTTCTTAGGTTATAAAGAATTAGTCATCCAACTAGTCTGCAAGAGGGGGACGTCTGGATTAGATATAAATTTAAATTAGCATCTGGATCCATAAACATTCTGAGGAGGCAAATACATTGCTTTTAGCAGCATAGAGACCAGGTAAGTCTCTACCTACCCGGTAGAGATATCTAGACCACAGAAAAGAAAGCAATAATATGGATCACCTCCCCAAGCTAATTAGCAGTTAGTAATTTTGGCAGCTTTTTGTTAATCAGATCTGTTAAGATGTAACAAAGAAGATTGCTTTTTACATCTGCATTTATTGTTGACTATACACACACACAAAAAATTACAAAACCCAATTCAGACTTCACGGTTGTGAAAGCAAATACAACATCTGCCATAAAAAAACCACCACATAAGTGCAGGCTCACAGGTGAGCAGATTTACGGTGTCAGGGAGCAGGAAGGGCAGGTGACCCCAGAGCTGGACACAACAAGGCAGCAGGTAGGGCAGTGACCTCACCAAGGACACGCTCCCACAGTGCCCAAACAAACACGTAGAGCAGGGCCAGTGACAGTAAAAAAGGATCAACCAAGAGTCCAAGTTTCCAGGCAAATCTGTGGAGATGAGTAGGTCGGAGCTGAAGCTGGAAAGTCAGTGGGTCAGGATCAGCAAAGGTCGAAGCCAGGCACAGGCACACTGGTGGTACCCCTCAGGCAAAGGCCCAGGTTTGAACAGGGCTCCCAAGCGAAGGGAGAGAGGCCACCCAGGAGGCTCCTCACACCTCCCTGTCACTCTGCTCCCTCCAGTACAGCCCTATCCCAGGCTACACGAGCAGGTTGGAGCAGAGCCAGCCCTGCACACAGGTAGCTGAGCCCCCAGGGAGCAGGGAAGAGGCTGCAAAGCTCCGAGGGGCACTTGCAGCCCTCAAATGAGCTCCCACAAACTCAGTGAGATGGACTGATTCATCTGCCCCTGAGCACCTGTTCCCTAAAGCCAGGACAGTTCAAGCACCCCCATGTCAGGAAGCTTTTTGCCACCAAAGCACATAATGGTATTAGGAATCCATTTTGACATCTAGAACAAGGACACAGATCTCATTCTGGTTTTTTGGTTTTGTGGGGTTTTTTTATGGTAGGAATGGAAAAGAAGAAGCAATTGGAGTCTTAGATTCCTAGAACAGAAGACGAACTTTCCTAACAAGTCCCTTTGGTCTGTAGGCACAGGAGGTAACAGCATCTCTACATGATGTTACTAAGCCATGACATACCAAGTTTGCATTTTGTCAACATGTTT